GGAGCAGTAGCCTTGAGCAGCAGAAGTGGCTCATGCCTCACTCACGCCCCATGATGGACACCCTCCCCCCCATAAAGGAAATGAGCACTGAGCTATTCTTCCTGCCTGTGGCTGAGAGATGTCTTTTTCCAGAAAAAATGCTTCCCCATAAGCTGGGTGCACGTTTGTCCGTGCTTTCAGATCCATTGCGGGTCCTCACTAAGCGCTCCCGCCATGCTGCAGGCACGGTGGCCACTGCCCCTACTCCGCGGCGGTCAGGCGGTCCCCACCTCACAGCGCTTGGTTTTCATCCTCATTGGTGGTGCCCCGCCCTGAACCTTGCAGGCTCTCTCTAGCTGTGGTCCTCATCCTGACGCCAGCAAAGCAGCCTTGGGGCCAGAGCTGTGTTCCCCACTTGTTCATCTCCTTTTGGGTTTTGGAGTTTTGTGGTACTGGGGATCAACACAGGGCCTAGTGCATACCAGGCAAGTGCTCTACCTCCAGCCCAGAGGGACCGTTAGTGAATTAATCTGTTAACTGGTGGAGAATGATGCAGAACTTTGAGAAGCATAAAATGTGTGTTTTCCTCACTTGTTTACTTAACTACCAAGGTAAGCATGGTGACCTCTATTGATGGCAGTGTCCATGGGTGTGGCCGTCGTCCAGGGGGCGGGCTTGGTGTGCTGTGCAGGGTAGCCCGTGCCTCAGGGCTCTCTCTCTGCCCGTGGCTTATGTGTGTGCCCCTCTCCTCTTTGTCACGCTTCCCTGGCCCTGGATGTGGCTGGTGGACGGGGGTCATCTTAGACCACAGGAAATGTCTGGTTAACTCACGAAGAGATGGAAACGCTCGCAGCCACACCACAAACGGTCAGTCACATCTCGGTGCCCGCTCGCGCTCCCCCGTGCTTATGCCCCGTGCTCGTTTGCCCTGTTGTGTCCCTTTACATTTGGCTGCTGGAGATAAGCATTCCCTTTAGGTTATTCGCTAAACACATAAAGTAGCATTGCATTTGTTCCAGATTTTGCCAGTAACTTAAAATTCGCAGACTTGATCCGTTAGGACAGATGCGATTTCCTCCTCCTTTTGAAGAGCCACCGTGTAGCCCTCCATGGTGATTGTCTTGCCCCAGCGGTCTCCTTTCATGGATTGCTTGGCATGGGAAGTCTGCAACTTGCATGAACACGACATTGACAGGTTGCATGATTTTGCATGATGCTGTCATACTCGAACGCTTTACCCGGTTTTCTGCACAGCTAACCACTGACATCACCACAGCTCACCAATACTAATAGTTGTGTTCTCTTGCATTCCTAACCACGTACCGTCAGGAAGATGAGGAGGGAAGCTGGGCTCAGGTTGGAGTCTTTCTATATTCTTCACTCTGTGTGTGAGCAACAAAAAGCACCTGAGTATGAAAATGTGCCACTTGCATTCCTGGATGTTTTTAGTCTTAATGTAATTGTAGTAGTAATGATTTAAAAGCACTAGTCAAGCAATGCATAGGATTGAAGTGCGTCTCATGGACAATTTTGAACATTTCCCATAGGGAACTATGATAATGACTTTAAATGACTGTAAGTCACTTTGTTTATCCTAGGACCTTTTACACAAAGTTCCTGGCTTGGGCAGCTCTTGAGATTACGTACCTGGCACTCTTTGTGACTTCTAATATCTACTTGTGGAAAAGTCGGAGATAAATCTCCAAACCCAGAAGTTAGTGTAGTGCCTTTTCCATCTGTTCCCAGCAAAAAGAAAAAGAGAAAACCCCACACCTCCGTGTTTTGCTGTGTACCATCCTAGGAGCATGTTGATGTGAAGATGTCACTAAGGGAATTCCCGGGAATTCAACAGGAGGCTGCTCCTGTTGTGTTGCGTACATTTGAGTGCACGGCTCACTTCCATGCTCAGGCAGCTGGGGTCAGTGGAGCGGCCGTGTCTCCTCCACTTCCCCAGTGTGGCCAAGGCCGTGCTGCGGCACCAGGAAGCCACAGGTGCATCGGAGCTCCCCGGCTGCCAGGCGCTGCTCGAAACAGCCGCCTGTTTCTCTTTCTTGTATTTTTCCAGTGCAGTGAGTCAGTTGTACCACCTCTTGTTTGTTTTCAACAAAGGAAGAGAGTAGCTAGAAAATCTGGTTTTCCTCTACCAGGTCAGCCAGCAGTGTCCGTCGGCGAGTTGAGCTGGGACCAGCTTGGAATTACATACACGTTATACACTTACACACATGACAAAACATCACCCCACTTCAGTGAGAGCACCGGCACACACCCAGACAGGAAGTGCAGACTAATGGAGAGGAGCATTCTTTGCAGGGGCAGTATGAATGCAAGCAGGTCAAATCCCAGTCTACAATTTTATTTTTATTTTTGTAAAGAGAGGGTGGTGCAGGAGACACTAGAATTAGAGATTCACTGTGTATGTCCGGAGGAAGCTTAGGTGGCGCTCACACCCACCACCTCTCTTCAGCCAGAAAGTTTTCCCGCACCAGCTCTCAATCCAGGGCGACCCCAGAGCCACGCCTGCTGTCGCTGCGCGAGTCTGGAGCGTGCCGCCGGCCATGAGGACACTGTCCCCCTCTAGCAGCCGCAGTGGTGAGCAGGACAGCCACACTTCCTGCTGTCCTGTACTCAACATTTGCCCGAGCGCAAAGCTGGCTTGCCTTTGCAGCCACACGGCTATGTCTCCTCCACCCCAGTGTGGCCAGCCGTGGCTCCCTCCCTTCCACAGGCCGGGGGCCTGTACTGATCTAACTCGTGCTAGTAGTTGGTTGTCAGCTGCCTCAGAATTGTATGTGGGGTCTGAAGTGTGCAAGGGAGGAGGAGGAGGCAGAGCAGAGGCCAAGGAGGCTGCGGCCTTCCTCTCCTTCCCTTCATCACACAGTTGTTTGCCACTCCTACCAATTGAGGAATACCAAGAGAAAGCGTTACAGAGCCTCACTGCACACAGACCTAGTGACTGCTTCTCACTCCACTTCTTGAGAGGAAGTAATGAGGGTTTTCTGTTAGAATTGGTGTGTTCTTGTTAGAAGGCAGCCATTCTTTCCAGCGGTACTAGAGGCCACTGTGAAAGGCGGAGGCAGAGTGAGGCGAGGACGCCGCAGACGGGCGGGGCGGGGCGGGGTGCCTGTGGCATGGTGGAGGGCATCAGGGCCTTCCTGTGATCGGCACACCTGTCTGCTGTGCCATCCTGGTCAGTATTCTGGGATGGAGGCATATTGTCATTAGAAAGTAGCTGTAGTATTAGAAAGCTGGCTGATGTGTAGGAATTGTGTATTAGGCACCTTTGCTGATTCATGGCTTAGTGTTGCCAGCTAATTTCACAGACTCTTTTTCCACACTGGTGATTGTGCCATCTGCTCCAAAGGAGCTGTGTTCTTTCCGCCTCCTACGACCGTCTGCCTTTTCCTTTCCTGTGTGATAGGGGCCAGAACTTGAGATGCAGTGCTGCTGCTTGGCCCTTCATTGTAGGGAGCGCCTCTGGCCTGCCCTCCAAGGAAACGTCCACTCCTGCAGCTCTGAGGGCTCTGTGGGCGACTGTGTTTCCTGAGTCTGTCTTATTCTCATTAGCACACCTTGATTGCACAGTGGTTTCAGTGTGTACTTGCACACGTGTTTGCAATGACATAGTCTGTTTTGTCAGTCTCTCCATGGGGAATATTTCACGTTTTTTCCCCCACCATCTATTGACTCAACCTGTGTTCCAATGTATCATTGGCCATAGCTTCTATTTTAATGTATTGATGGGATTTGCTAATATTTTGTAAGTTTTCTTTGCATGGGTTATTATGGTGGGTTTCTAGACTTTTTACTTTTTATTTATTTGTCTTTTTTAAGACAGGGTCTCACTACTTTGCCTAGGCTGGCCTCCAATACCTGGGCTTAAGCAGTCTTCCTGTCTCAGCTTCCTGAGTAGCTGGAGCTACAGGTGTGTGTCACTGCACCTGGCTTGTTGATTCCTAATTGACTTCTCTTGAGGTCAGAGAATACACATTGTATGATTTTAGAAATGTAAGTATATTAAGAGACTAGTGGTATAGCTCAGTAGTAGAATGTGTGCTTAGCATGTGTGAAGCTATGGGTTCGATCCCCAGAACCACACATGCGACAGAGGTGTGTTCTGAAACCAGGCATGGTGGCATGCCCAAGTCCCACCTACTTGGGAGGCTGAGGCAGAAGGATCGCTTGATCATAGGAGCTGGAGGCCGTAGTGCACTGTGCCCATCAGGTGTTAGGTTTGGCATCAGTATTGCACTCCTGTCCGTGGTCAGTAGTGGAAGCAAATCTGAGTGGCCTCTGTACTCCAGTCAGGGCAGCATGGCAGCATCCCTCTAATTAGTTAATTAGCTAATTAATATTCTGCTGGGTGGTGCTTATATAAAATATAACCAGGTTAAGCTGGTTGATTGTGTTGCTTTAGTCTGTATCCATCATGAGTCTCCTGTTCTCCCATCTCCCCTCCCTTCCCCCCATTCCCCAGGAACCCATCTCCCCTTCCCCCATTCCCCCGAGGAAGAGAGTTGAAGTCTTCTGGTAATATTTGTATTCTGATTACTATTGTGTATTTGCTTGTTTCTCCATTCAGTCCTGTTAGCCATTGGTTTATCACTTTTCTAAAACTATTTCTAAATTAACTTACTAATTTTGAAGTAAGCAGATGTTTTATCTAGGAAAGAAAAAATATTAAAATGAAAACCAGATAGAGATCATATTTAATGAGGAAAGTTGAATTCTTCAAACTTGTTCATGAGTCGTAACCATTTCTTGTTATGTTACTGAATTAAAAACTATTTCAGAAAGAGAATTTATTGTTAGTTACAGCTTTAGTGTGGTTTGTTCATTTTATCCCAAATGAGTTGTAAGTTCTTAATGGTATAATTCCTTTTATCTGAAATTTTACTAACAAATTTAAAAGGTGGGGACAGAGATCAAGTCATTTGGAACTTGAAACCATTGTCATTAATCTGTGGTAGAACCTGGAGTGGATTAAGAATCTGTACCTAATGGCACTCATTTCTTCCAAGCAGACACTCGCCTATGGGGACATGAACCATGAGTGGATTGGCAACGAGTGGCTGCCCAGCCTTGGGCTCCCCCAGTACCGCAGCTACTTCATGGAGTGCCTCGTGGATGCCAGGATGCTGGACCACCTGACCAAGAAAGACCTGCGGGGACAGCTGAAAATGGTGGACAGCTTCCACAGGTCAGGCAATGCGGAGGTCCTACCAGTCGACTAACAAAGAGACTCTTTATAGTTGCCACCTAATTCTTCTCTCTTTTTGTAAACAGAAACAGTTTCCAGTGTGGAATTATGTGCCTGAGAAGGTTAAATTATGACCGTAAGGAACTGGAAAGAAAAAGAGAAGAGAGTCAGAATGAAGTAAAAGGTAAGCTCCTGGTGCCTGGTGGATGAGCACACCTCTGCTGCCTGAACCAGCTGCCTTGGGTGATGGCTGCCTGCTGTACAGGGGCCCCGAAAGGGTGCTCGGCCAGCACTGTGAGGAGAGGGCAGGAGAGAGGGACTGCTCTTGAAAGCTTGTGCATATCTTTGTATGTGGGTGGTGTTTTCCCGGTGACTTTAGTTTTCCTTTTGTTGTATACTGCATGCATTCTCTCACGCCCAAAGGCTGTGCCTACTGTATCGAGCACAGTGGAACAGGGGCGATCGGGTCCCTGCTGCTTGCTCACTGGGCTGAAGTGTGAGGGTACAGTAGCACAAAGGGCACTCTTTCTCAGAGAGAGGGACACAGGCCCACACGGCTTCCAGCCAGCCTTGGAGAAAGGAGCCTGCGAGAAGGAAATGGGTTCGGAGGGCAGGGCGTCCTGCAGGAAGGAAATGGGCTAGGAGGTGAGATACAGGGCATCCTGTGGGAAGGAAATGGGCTAGGAGGCGCAGGAGCACCTGCTGCTCATGGGGCCTGCTTCCCTTGTAGCGCCCTCCAATGACAGGGACAGTCCGTTTGCCTCTAAGTGAGACCCTAAATGCTAGGCCCCGGGGAAGGAGGATAGTCAGGAAGTCAGTGGTGACCTGGCCATAGTGGGAAAGGCCAGCCCCAGTGAAGCAGCTAGTGGGGGTGGGGGGCACACCAGGCGCTGTTCAGGACACTCCATGGTCAACCACATCCTCATCGCAGGCCGGTACCCGCTCCTCTCTGACTTACCTGGGAGACCTAGGTAGAAACATGCTTGAGAGGCTGTGCTGCTCCACTGCAGCTGAGTGATGTGTGCAGGGCACGCTTGAATATGCATCACCGAACTTACACAGCACGGCATGGCACATGGCCTCCCACCAGGAAACGCAGTCCTGGGGCTTGAACTCTGGGCCTGGTGCAAGTCCTTGAGCTTACGTGCTCAAAGCTAGCACTTTAGCCACAGCTCCACCTCCAGCTTTTTTTCTTTTGGTAGTTAATTGGAGATAAGAGACTTACAGATTTTCCTGTCTGGGCTGGCTTTGAACCACAATCCTCAGATGTCAGCCTCATTAGTAGGATTACAGGTATAAACTACTGGCACCCAGCTAGTTCTTTCTTGTTACACAATTGATAAACTCTGATTCTGAAAGTGATCGTAATCAAAAACATCTGAGTTAGATAACAATGAGAGCAAATGTAATGATTTAATTGAAAGCTACATTCCCAGCTGAAAATTCCATTTTTAAACAAATTGTCAACTACAAGGTCTCACAAGAAGAATGTGGATA